AGTAACCAGCAAGAAACTTGGGGATTCTTGCTCTAATTCCAGCTCTTAAATTTTATTGACTGACCATATGCTTATGATGACAAACAAATGAAAGGCAAAACAGTTGGTCATCAGTCATCCTCACATTATACATGGTAATTTTTACAAAGCATTTGATCCATATACTTTTTTTCTCATCCTTACAGCCACCAGACAAGCTGTATATTATTATCTGCTGTGGAAGTTGCAGATACCAAGATGAAATCACTTTTGTCAGACCCATACAAAATAGGGCTGGGAAGGCGCGAAGGAATGGGGTTCAGGTTTACATGTCCAAGATAGGAACGGTTCCAAAGACTTTCTAAGAATCCCATAAAAATCCCTTCACGCCTGTCACACATCTCCTGCTTTGCATTGCTTGCATGTATGCACATATTTCTATGACAAGGTTTATCACTGCACATTCTTTAGGACTGCAGCAATTCAGATAAGATAAGATAAGATGAGATGCTCTCAAAAGAACACCTGCCCAGGAATGGCATCTCCGCCAATGAACACACAACAACTCTGGCTTTGAGCCTTCAGAACCAAGGAATTCTCTTCGCCCCTCTCGCCTCTCCCCTCTCCCCTCTCTTCTCTCTCTCTCAAGAAACTGGAGCCTTGTCATATTGCCCAGGCTGTTCTCAAACTCCTGGCCTCCAATGACCCTCCCGCCTCAGCCTCCCACATAGCTGTGATTACCCATATGAGCTACCATGCACTGCTATGAACTCTGTTTCTAAGGAGCTTATGTGAACTTCTCCCTTTTGCCAAGAAAACTTCCCTTTACCCTCACTGCACGTGCCTGGGGTTTACCATAGTGCATTCCAAATCATAACCCTCTTTTCTTATTCCTGAATAAATTTGACATATTTGGGGATATCTTTCTCTAATTTTTTTTTTTTTAGGTTGACACTGCATTTTACATATGAGATTCAGACAAGGTCAGTCCCTTGTCTAGGGTCTGGTAGTCAGGTAGCCGCAGATTCAAGCCTGGCTCTATCTCCTAAGCTTCTGCACTACCCCCTGCCCTTGTTTGACGGCCTGAGCTCCTTCCTGCTCTAGGAGTGGTTGCTGGACTGCTGTCTCCCCTCCCTGTGCTTATTACCTTACCCTCCATCCTATGTTAGAGAAGGCACATGAAGGACCCTCCAGACAGGATGTGTGGCTCTAGTAGGTGCTAGTCACATGATAATGTGATAATGTGTGAATGGTGCCACTGGCACTTGTCCAGTGTATAACCCAGCGACACTAAACACAGTGACCCTGAGGCTAAGTGAAGCCTGAGCTGAGGTCCGAGCTGAGACAGGTGCCCACGAGCAGTGGCTTGTGCTCCAGCCAGGGCTGCTGTTCACTGTTACATATGCATAAATGGCGCACTGTCAGCTCGGACAAGGACTGCCTGGGGGGCTGTTTTGATTCGTCAAGGAGCCAGAGTGACTATCAAATGATTTCAAAATTCTAGCTTCATTCGTCCCTATAACCATCTCATCTGCTTGTCTAACTTTCTCCTCTTCCTGCCTCTCTTTCTCCTCTCCTCCCTTGTTTACTTCCTCCCTCCTAATCTCCTCACTTTCTTTTCAACTGCAAAAGTAATATATACTTGTTTCCAAAAATTTAAACAAGACAGCAATGAACAAAATAAATGTGAAAATCTGTCACTACTTCACCCCCTGACAAATCCAGATCCAGAAGTATCTACAGTTTGGTTTATATATTTTCATAAGTTTTTCTATGTATTTTCAAACAACTCCATGTACAGTTTAGTGGTCTTAAACATTTTCAAAGTCTTGCACTGCACTTATTGTGCACATTGCTTTCCCACATAACATATCAACACATATCAAAGATATCCATTCCCTTTTTTTTCTTTTGAGATGGAGTCTCACTCTGTTGCCCAGGCTGCAGCGCAGTGGTGTGATCTCAGCTCACTGCAACCTCTGCCTCCCGGGTTCAAGCAATTTCCTGCCTCAGCCTCCCAAGTAGCTAGGACTACAGGCACGCACCACCATGCTCAGCTAATTTTTGTATTTTTAGTAGAGATGGGGTTTCACCATGTTGGCCAGGGGAGAGGGGAGATGGGAGAGGAGAGAGGGGAGAGAAGAGTTCAGCACTTGAACTCCTAGCCTCAAGTGATTTGCCCGCCTTGGCCTCCTAAAGTGCTGGGATCACAGGCATGAGCCACAGTGCCCAACCATTTTTTTTTTTGAGATGGAGTCTTGCTCTGTTGACCAGGCTGGAGTGCAGTGGTGCGATCTCAGCTCACTGCAACCTCTGCCTCCCGGGCTCAAGCAGTTCTCCTGCCTCAGCCTCCCAAGTAGCTAGGATTACAGATGCCTGCCACCACGCCTGGCCAATTTTTGTATTTTTAATAGAGACAGGGTTTTACCATGTTGGCCAGGCTGGTCTCGAACTACTGACCTCAAATGATCCACATGGTTTGGCCTCCCAAAGTGCTGGGATTACAGGCATGAGCCACCGTGCTAGGCCTCCATTCACTTTTGTGGGCATGGCTGTCCATGTGCAAGATGACTTATAAATGTAAATAACTGTGCCCAGGTTTGTGGTTAATTTAGCATCCAACCAACAACTTTGCATGTAGTAGATGTGTGACAAATATTTGTTAAAGAAAATAGAATCTGAGGCTAGGCACAGTGGCTCATGCCTATAATCCCAGCACTTTGGGAGGCCAAGGCAGGTGGACTGCCTGAGGTCAGGAGTTTGAGACCAGCCTCACCAATATGCAGAAAACCCATCTCTACTAAAAATACAAAAATTAGCCAGGTGTGGCGGCATGCACCTGTAATCCCAGACCTGGGTGGGTAAGGAAGGAGAATCACTTGAACCCAGGAGGTAGAGGTTGCAGTGAGCCAAGATGGTACTGCTGCACTCAAGCCTGGGCAACAGAGTGAGACTGTCGAAAGAAAGAAAGAGAGAAAGAGAGAGAGAGAGGGGAAGAAAGAGAAGGAAGGAAGGAAGGAAGGAGAGAGAGAGAGAGAAAGAGAGAAAGAAAGAGAGGGAAGGAAGGAAGGAAGGAAGGAAGGAAGGAAGGAAGGAAGGAAGGAAGGAGAAAGAAAATAGAGTCTGAGTCTGACCAGACTGCTAGATCCAAGTGTCAGGTTCCTGGAAATGCAGAAGGTAGAGGAACATGTTAGCTGATGCCAGAGGAACACATTTGCTAAATCTAGAGTAGACGGAATTTTACAGGACAGATTACATGGCTTCTTTAACAAATAAGCGACAAGAAAAAAGAGATGGATAAAGAGGAAATCTACAAATTAAAAATCTTAAGGGGCTAAAAATACAAAAATTAGCCTATCTTGGTGGTGCGCACCTATAATCCCAGCTACTCAGAAGGCTGAGGCAGGAGAATCACTTGAACCTGGGAGGCAGAAGTTGCAGCGAGCTGAAGTCATGCCACTATACTCCAGCCTGGGTGGCAGAACAAGACTCTGTCTCAAAAAAAAGAAAGACAGAAAAATTGAAGCAAAAATTATCTACTTACTTGGGGAACCATTTGGCATGTTCCTTCCAAGGATCATCTCCTTCTTCCCAATTTCCTAAACATCCACCACAGGAAAAACACTGTACCGTGTCCTGTTTACCTATATATGAAGGAAAATATTTAGATTGCCTGGCAGTGGCACCAGAGGGTATGTACACAGAGTTGATTGTTTTGTGCAGTAGCAAGACATGCTCCAGCGTGCCTGTGCACTCCCGATCTTATTGGCCTGAGTCTCCATCCACAGTCCCACCACCCGAAATGGGCCCCTCCACCACGGCCGCACTCCAGGTACAGAACCCTAAGCTGTGTAACTCAATATCCTTCCCCAGCTGCCTCCCAGAGCTGGTATGTTGCTCTTTGAGCTCTCAGGGTCAAAGTGATAGGGAAGCCGACTAACACCAGGACCAGCTGAAGTAATGTGCAATTAGAAAACCTATGTTTTAGCTTTGCCATGACATTTCGGTAGAAACATAGGCATGTTTCTTAAACTCTCTGAGCCTCCATGAACTCAGCTGTGAAATGGGAGAGAAAGAGGTAAATTCATTGGATAAGAATTAGTACTCACTCTATGCCTAGCATAAAGTAGGTACAGTACTCAGTAAATGATCATTGTTATTGTAAGAATTCTCATTTACGTATCATAACCCCCAGGGCAGGGCTAGGACAAACAAACAAAACCCTCCAATACTGCAGCAATGAGAAGAATCAAAGAAAGATCTTGTAAGAGCAGTAGAGGGAGGATGGGTGAGGAGACTGATATCAGGATGACCACATGAGTTATTTAATCTTTTCAGGGCCTTAAGAATACAGCCAGTATTTTCTAAGGTCCAAGTTTAAGGAGAAGTAACTTTCTTATTTTATGTATATTTGGCAAATTAACACAGGCTGTACTAAATATAAAATGAGCAAAAATAAAAATATTGACGTTGAATTTTGATAAACTAGACCTTATACCTAATATAACACATTTAACCAGGGAAGAAAGTTTAGCCAAATATTGCAAAAATAATTGAAAAATGAAACCTAAACTTAAAACGCCAGAGAAACACTTCAGAGAATAATTTCAAGGTACCTGTAAAGACAAAACCAGCCTCTGAGAGCACACGTGGGGATATCCCTTGGGCGTAAAATGGCCAGTTCCTGAAGGAGCCAAGTCTAGCCTCCTCTTCTTGGTACCTCATTTTACCTCCTCTCAGCCTGCTCCTCAGATTCTTCACCCTTATGTCGTACTTGGCAATGTTACCAACATCCTTGTTCAGCAGGAACCCACAGTCTGGATGAAACTTCTTGTGGTCTTCTATGGGGAGTCTCCTGAGGCTGGCACCAAAGAGGATGAGGCTACAGCAGAAGCACTGAACCCCAGCTTTTACGCCAGTGAAGTAAAACCCAGCGGCCGCCATCTCCTGCGGTGTCCATGAGCTGTACGGTTCATAGGTCACAAAAGTCTTTAACCTTTTTGCTTCACTGCGCATTTGAGAGTTGTAGCCTTTCCGCATTGTTGCCTTCACTTTCTGCTGATCTTCTTCCATTTCCTTTGCCAACTGAACTGCATCTATGCCCAGAAGAGCAGACAGCTCTGGCAGAAAATCGTAATCAAACTGGGAGATCCTCTCATCAGAGGCTTCCTGCTGGGTGGCCATTTTCTGAAAAGGGAAATAAAGCAGGTTGATCCCTTAGAGTAAGATTTTTCTTAGAAGAGCATTTCCCACTGTTTCTGAAGAAACCAGGAATTAAAGGAATGCCTGAAATTTCAACGCAAAAGAGAAATTGTTGGGAAAATTATGAAACATCAGTATTCGTCTACTTAATCAACAACTATTTACTAAGCACTTCCTATATATCAGGTACTGTGCTAGGCACTGGGGATCTAGCAACCAACAGGACAGACACCGATCTGCCTCCATTCACGAAGCTTTCCAGACATTAGCTATGGACACAATGTGGTAACACAAGCATATACTTACCATTTACATTAAAGAAAAACATACACAAAATTGGATAGCCTGGCAGCAATGATTTGATCAAATTACTCAGTTTTTAAAAATCATTATTTTGCGTTCAGTTTGAAGTCCCAGTGCTCTGTGCCAAAGCTGCAGATGTCCCACTATAATTATAGCCAGGGGAGATGGCTCATGCCTGTAATCCCAGTGCTTTGGGAGGCCAAGGTGGGAGGACTGCTTAAGGCCAGGAGTTTGACCAGCCTGGGCAACACAGCAAGATCCCATCTCTCTACATGTGTCTCTTTATATATATGCATATATATGTAATCTCTCTCCATATATATATTCTCTGTGTGTATGTATATATATAATATCACATTAATAAATACATATCTGCAAATTACTCCTTAATGGCTTCATGAATCTCCTCATTTAAGACATTCAGGCCGTTGCCATTTTTCTCTGTATAAACAAATGTTACAGGATAACTGAGTATCCTATAACAAAAAGTGTTTTTCCAGTCATTATTTTTTCCTCACAACAAAGTTTCAAGAGAATTCGAGTCAAGTCATATGTATATTTTTCAAGATTTTTATATATGTCACCAAATTGCTCTGGAGAATGGTGAAATGAAGTCCTTCATATTGTCAGAGTCCTGGTTCTCGCCCAGAATGTTCTCTGTCCTGGGTTTTCAGATCTCAAAATAATTTTATGTCCTTCCATTATAGAAGCAGTCCATTAAAGCCCAGTAACAGGCCAATGACTGTTTTTCAGAGGACATATACCTGCCAGAAGCCTCAGGTAACTTTCTAGTCCCAAATCCCCATGACCATCCCTGAGGGAAAGTCACAGGTTTGGTAAGAAGCTCCATGAGCGTGAGTCGGTTGCCGACACTGCTAACATCATTTGAACACTGAGGTGCTATGGCCCCAAAGGAATCTCTTCGAAGTTCCCAAAGAGTCTGCCATTTGTTCATTTTTCAAAGCTCCATATAAATTAGCTCCCCATTCCGTCTTAACTTTGAGAATAAGGGTTGATAAAATTCCCAAACGTGGTAGGTGATTTCTCCAGGAACCAAGAAATTGAACCAATTTTTGTGCCTTTTTCCTCTGTCTTGTAGCTAGCAACTTAATTTTGGATGTTTGGGAATGTTTCTAGTGGCTCTAGCCCAAGTAATTTCTTTCTTTCTTTTTTTTTTTCTTTTGAGACAGAGTCTCACTGTATCACCCAGGCTGGAGTGCAGTGGCAAGATCTTGACTCACTGCAACCTCTGACTCCTGGGTTCAAGCAATTCTCCTGCCTCAGCCTCCTGAGTAGCTGGGATTTCAGACAGATGCCACCAAACCCGGCTAATTTCTGTGTTTTTAGTAGAGACAGGGTTTCACCATGTTGGCCAGGCCGGTCTCCAACTCCTGACCTCAAGTGATCCGCCTGCCTTGGCCTCCCACTCTTGTCCTTGTCGCCCAGGCTGAAGTGCAGTGGCACTTCGGCTCCCACACTGGGATTACAGGCATGAGCCACCACATCCAGCCTAGCCCAAGTAATTTCTAAGAATTTTACCATTTATACTAAGCCTTGCATTTTAGCCAGGTAATCAGCCCCTCCCTGGTAGTTACATGATTAACAAGCACTTCCAATTCAGTCTTAGCTGGATATTTGGATTGAGAGATTAACATTATATCATCAATATAATAAGACATAGTATTAGCCAGGTGCAGTGGCTTATGCCCGTAATCCCAGCACTTTGGGAGGCCGAGGTGGGCAGATCACCTGAGGTCAGGAGTTCAAGACCAGCCTAGCCAACATGGTGAAACCCTGCCTCTACAAAAATATAAAAAATTAGCCGGGCATGATGGTGGGTGCCTGTAATCCCAGCTACTTGGGAGGCTGAGGCGAGAGAATCACTTGAACCCAAGAGGCGGAGGTTGCAGTGAGCCGATATCTTGCCATTACACTCCAGCCTGGGCAACAGAGTAAGACTCCATCTCAAAAAAAAAAAAAAAGATACATTATTTTCCAGTGAAATCAAATCTAAGTTGTTCCTCATTACGTTGCAGCAATAAGCAAGAGAATTTAAATGTCCTGTGGGAGAACCTTAAATGTACATTGGTGGCCTTTTCACACAAATGCAAATTGGTTACGATTTTCTTCTGAAATAGGAATCAAATAGAAAGTAAGTGGCCCGATGTGGTGGCTCACACCTGTAATCCCAGCATTTTGGGAGGCCAAGGTGGGAGGATTGTTTGTGGCTAGGAGTTTGAGGCCAGTTTAGGCAACTTAGTGAGACCCTTGTCTCTACAAAAAATTTCAAAAATTAGCCAGATGTGGTGGCACAGCTACTTGGGGAGCAGAGGTAGGAGGATCACTTGAGCCCAAGAATTCAAGGTTACAGTAAGCCACGATTATGCCACACGCTGTTCATTTTATGAAATCTCTTTCCAGGCCGGGCGCGGTGGCTCAAGCCTGTAATCCCAGCACTTTGGGAGGCCGAGACGGGCGGATCACGAGGTCAGGAGATCGAGACCATCC